GAGTGGGGGATGGTCACATTTTCCAACGAGCTGCACCCTCGGAAGGCCTTCTCCCCAATCTGGGTCACTGAATCAGGGATGGTCACACTTGCCAACGAGCTGCAATCTGCGAAGGCACAATCCCCTATCTGTGTCACTGAATCAGGGATGGTTACACGTTGCAACGAGCTGCATCCTGAAAAAGCCGCATCCCCAATCTGGGTCACTGAGTGGGGGATTGCCAGACTTGCCAAGTTTTTGCAGAATAGGAATGCTCGTGGAACAACTTCAGTTGCACCTCTTGGTAATTGAACTGCAAATAGAGTCTCATGGCGAAACTGGGCAAACTCGAGTCTGTGGTTGCATGTCACAGTGTTTTGTCTCAAAACTACAGTCACCTCTGATTCTGGAGTAAGGCCTGCCTCTGCAGCTGTCTCGTCGTTCGTCATCAATCTGTTCTCCCCCACCACAATGTCCACCCTGGTTGTTTTACGTGTGAGTGCGTCGTCCCCAGGCTGGCGCTCCTTGATTCTCTCCTTAAGTTTGCGGCCGGTGATGCCTGGCAAGATGTCAAGAACCATCGCTTCACCATTCAACTGCCGAAATGAAACCCTCATGGCCATGGCTGCTCAAATCTGATCTTGCATATTGTTGAAGGCCAGGTCTCTTTTTGGGGCGTGGGCTTTGCAAAGCAAGGCCATTGTGCGATGACCATGCTGCCAAACTTTGGAGTACCACACAAATATTTTCATCTAAGAACTACTGACATTTTGCAGCTGGTGTAGCGCTAGCCAGTGCTTGCCGTCAATAGCAAAGGCAATCCAATGGGGATCCAACTTAACTCGAAACCGTGCAGTTCAAAACGGCACAGCTAGCATGACACACCTGCTGCTTGAGCATGCACACACACACAAATGCATTGCTGGCTGGAGTTCATTCGATCGAAATGTTTTTACACCATAATATCTTGATTTATATGTCCCTCCCCATGTGAAAGAGGATATGTTCAATCCATGTCTACATCAATGCGTCTAACAATGGAATCGTTCATTCGCATCCACGGTCCCCGGCTGTTTTCCGAAATCACACCCCATGGTCCCGCCGCCTGTACCATCCCGTCTGCGCGCAATCGCTCTCTCTGCGCGTTCGCTCTCTTCGCGCCCCCCCCCCACCTCGGCCTTTAAGCCTTCCAGCTCTCCGCGAAGGGACTTGATCTCAAGTTCCAGTTGCTGTTTCAGGTCCCTCACCTCGGCAGCCTCCCGCACCCGCTTCCTGCAGCGGTTCGGACGGACGGAGAGTCGGAGAGCCGGTTGGGGCCGGTTGGGAAGACCTCGCCTGAACACGTTCGCAGATCACACCCGAACTCGACGAGGTGGTGGAGACCAATGTGGTACCACTTCCCATCTTTCCCCCAAAGATCGGATGGCCACCTTCGGGAAGAACCAGACTGGCAAGGTGGCCGAAAAGTGTCCCAGACTTGGGACAAGCTCCGGAGCTCACCATCCAATGATCAAATCAGAATTCCAAGGTCAACGGAAAATAACATGTTTCTTCTTGCTTCGTCTTCCGTTTTCTGAACAACACATGAATCAACTAATCATCTACCCTAAGAATGAGGGCCCTCAAACACACAGGGTTTTGAGGGCCCAAACCCCTGCCATGCAAAGTCCGACCCCTGCCATGGAGAGCCCAAAGATTGTTAGGGTATATTATACGTATTATATCTATGAAAGGAAGCCGAAATGGGCCATTCCGGGAACCCCCCGACCTTTCCCGCCCCGAGCGGCGCGAAGTCGCCCTCGGCCAGCCCCGGCTCTGTGGGACGCTCGGCCGCGGGAGGCGGAGCGGCCTGGCGCACGCAGCGCACGACCGGCCGACGAACGACGACGAATTGGTGAAGGCGGTTCTGGTGAAACGACCTGAACACAGAGGTATCTATAGACAGTAAATAGCCTCTTAGTGATTAAGAGGTGTCCAGAAAATATGTGTTGGAAGGTGCTGGAACATGTTTGCCTGACAGATTCCTTCTAGAAGCTGAACCCTTGAACAGCAGTAGGGTGCTACCAAATTGCTCGGGCACTACCGGTCATTAGCTTTTTGCTTCGAGTTCGGAACTTCTGGCTCCGAATGGAGAAGATGGATACCCCCCAGCTCGGAATTGCGCCCTCCTGAGCAAGCTCGCTAGTACACCCCTTGGAATAAACGGACATGGATGGCATATGGCTCCTACTTGGATGAACAGGTTCAGGAGTTTTTGGGTGTCCTTTCCTTGAATTCCAGATAAGGACTTGTATGATTGCAGTATGTGGTCAGTGAATTGGCTGAGTGTCAATGTGAGAATTTCTAGACGTGCTTCTGGGGCAAATCCCCTTCCACCAACCCACACGGCAAACTCTTTTGCCGACCCCATGAGGGGGGAGATATGAGGAGATAGGCTGACATGTCGAAGGACTGCCCGCGCCCGCCTGCGTCTGGCTTTCAGCAATGTGCCTACCAATCTTGCGGGCTGAAAACTGATGTTCCACATTGCACCGTATACGTTCACTTGCACCCACTGCCGGCAGCTCTCCCGCCCTAAACAATCACAACAAAAAAAAACAATAATGATACAGTAAACAATGTATTTCTGTATGATGCAAATCAAATCATCACGCCGTGGCTCGCCTCTCGTGGCTCGCCTTTGCAGCCTCCACTTCCTGACGTCTGGGTCCGGGCATCAGAAAAACTCGTATAGCTAGAAGCTACGACCGCAACAAGGACGCGTTGGTAGGTGGAGGCCAGCAGAAGACGAACATAACAAGAAGCTACTACTCGACTACTCGATCGCTAGAAGCTACTACGTATAGTAGCTAGAAGCTTCCTTGGGAATCGTTTCACTGGGAATCGTTTCACCTGTAGTAAAAAGGGAAGCTACTAGCTAACATAATACACAACTGACCCGAAAAAAAAGGTTCACCTCAGTCACTTAGATTAGCTCCTTCGCTTCGTTCGCCTTTTTCGTGCTAAGCCACCATCGGGTGCTCTTCCCGTCCCAACTGCCCAGTCGCCGGAGGTCCCGGCGGTTTCTTGGCGCCTGCTTGGTTCGTTTCAGTTCCTCCTCTTGTTCCTCCAGGCGCCTCTTGAGTTCGGCAATCTCCTGACCGCGCGCGTGTTTCGGTGCAGGGCGGGGCTGGGCAGCTAGAAGAGTGACATCGATTTGAAGACACATTGTGACGGCTGGTCACGGCGATGCCTGGTTCCTAAGAAGTCCTCAAGACTATGCCAACCTACGGACAAAATGATTTTATCTTCTCCAAACTGACCCGCTTGGTGAGTGATCAGGAGCCTATTATATCTTTCGAATTTGGGCACAAACATGCACAAACGGGTTTGTCTTCTAAGGAGTTCATGGGCAAAATACGATAAATACTTGGCCCATCTTGGCCCAAACATGCCCAACACTAGATAAAAGCAAGTTCGGCCCAAACCTGTTCCTAGTGCCTTAGGATAGTCACGCAGCGCGCAACGTCGCACTCGTGGGCCTTCTTCGCTTCTTCATCGTTGGATGCATTGGATGCCAGAAGTTTCTGATTCACGACCTGGCACATGTGACAGGGGAGACCATCTCCACCTCCAAAAAATGGCTCATGTAACATACTTTAGTTCAGCATTAAAACAAAAGACATCAGAAACGGACAATGAAACCACATTGAACAAAAAATCAAGAATACATTTTCCGGCTCCAAGCTGCCATGAGGTCGCGATCCTTCGCCGCCAGCTGCTCCTTCAATTCAGTCAGCTCTTCTTGGCTGGCTTGGCTCTTTTGCGACACCTCGGCCAATGCTAAGTAGGCGACCTTCGGTGCGTTTTTGGCAGGCGATGCTGCGGAGTGGCCAAGGCAAGCAGAACAAGGGGCCGAAGAAATGGCCACAAGGAGCCCTCAGCTGGAAGCAGATCCACCCTGGAAGTCCAGTTCGACCATATTTTGCGAGGGGATATGGCTCCTTATGGAATCTCGTGAACCCCGGCCACTGAACCACCGGTGAAAGGCGGTGGTCCACCAGGGTGGTGTCTTCGTTGAAACGACTGCGGATGGTGTCGAGTTAAGATCAAGATCGATGTATTTCTGCATGTATGTTGCCGCATACGGCTTCAATCATAGCCTGTCATAGGTCCAAACACCAAAGGAGAAAGAAACAACAAATCAACAAACCATCCATACGACTGGAATATGTTGCATACACACACATGCATGTACCACATATATATACCCTGGGAGTCAAAGACTATAAAAAGAATGGTCTTGAGGGGACCTGAAAGGGAACTTCCTTTACTTCAGCCGGTCAAAATATAGTCAAACTGGACTTCAGCCGGGTATATAATCACTTGAATTCGGTACATATATATACGAGTACCTGGACCCTCCAACAGGTGTTTCCTGGTGACAACAAGTGCCCAGAAGCCGCCTGTTAGGCTTCTAAAACCACCTATTGGAAGATCCTGGTATAGACCTCCTTTATGTCCCCAACTCTTTCACTTTCCTTCAGACCGATCCGTCCAACCCAACCCCCGGCCTCCGTCAGCTCTGCTTGGGCCCTCCGCAGCTCGTCGGTGCTGGACGCCAGCTTCGTCCGGAGGCTCTCCTGAGACGGCTCTCGTCGGTCGGTTCCTGTTCGTCAGGGGACCTACACTGGCTACACTGACCGAGCGAGCTCGGGGTGCCTGGCTGTCGGAAGGAAGGAAGGAAGGAGAGGGGGGGCCCCTATATCACCTCACCTCGCTCCGACGGCGAAGTCGGACGAAGCAAAGCAAACCACCCAGGCCCTGCGGCCCATGTGACTCGTAGCTACGAAGATCGATCCCAGGAGTGTTCGCCATCCCTCTGTTTCGGAGAGGAAGAAAGGCGACTCAGGCGACCATTCACTGGTGGCCGGCATGGACATGCTTGGGAAAGGAGCCAGAACCGCTGCCGAATTGGTTTCGGAGTTTGGGTTGAGGCTTCAAAGGGGGATTCCAAGCGAAAAGCAAGGGACTACGCTTGCAAAAGCAGCTGTAGCTGCCACTGACGCAGTTCTTGCGAACCGCCGTCTAGACCTGCATTCTATATTCTGGATTCTACTATATATTTACTAGTGGGCTCTGCTGCAACTTGCGCGGAGCCAAACTAGTTCATGGGATGTGCATGTTTACATGCCCTATAGGAATGTAACTGCCTATAGATCGATGTCGCATCCACGGCTCGAGCTCTTCATCCACCGCTGCGCTCGTCACGCTTGGCTGCGCAGGCGGAGAGTCTGGCACCTGGTGGCGCAGGGACGGCGTTTTGCTGTGGATCGTCATTGGAATTTGAACCGTTCGAATGAAAAGATAGCACCAAGGTGACTATAAAGGAAGGTTTTTGTGGCCTCTTTAATGAAAAAGGCCCGTATACCTGCTTACTTGGTCGTCTGTTATTTCTCTGACTTATAAGCTCCTGCATGAAGAAGGGCTTTTGGTTGAATTCATGCACCGGTTCGATGGTTGCTTTGCCACTGTTCGTGAACCGTGACTTGCTTGGCCTGCACCGCAGCCACCGCAGCCACCAGTGACTTCCCAGCCTTCACGTTCACCGCCTCTGTCGGAAGGTGGGTCTTGGCGGGAAGGTGAGCTTCGCGTTCCTGTTGCGAGCGATCTGGGAACAAGACTCGTGCGATCTGGACATACAAAAGAAGCACGTGAGCAATTCAATCACTGAGACCTGCACATGCATATATTTCTTACATAGCACGTGCCACATGGGTGTGGGTTCGAGGCCCAAAAGCAAGACTCAAAAAAGGCCATAAAAGGCCAACTCAAAATGGATCTGCATGGGGCAATGATGGGCATTTGAGTGAAACAAACAAGTGAAACAAACGAACAACAAATCCATTTCAGCCCCCTTAATCGGGCCCCCAAGCACCCGCCCATGAACAACTCACTCGCTCATCGGTCCGTGTCGGCAGCTTCAGGCGCAGATCTCAGTGGCCAAAGGTCGGATAGGCTGAAGATCCCCCCGGCCTACGCCTACGCCTGCCTACTTAGGCTGAATCGTACTCCAGCACCTCTGCCAGCCTGTAAGCACTTCCAACAGCGCGAGTCTATCATCCCACGAGGATTCAAGTACAGTACATATAGGGGAACATTTCGCTTCAATCTTTCCCAAACGAGTACGAGTCGCTTTCCAAAGAACCCCGGGCGAATCGATCTTTCAGCGCTCGAATCTTTGCCCAAGCGAAGGCCACTCAGCGAAGGTCGCTTCCGCTACTGATGGGTCGCGGGGCCCATGTTGAGCCACACGACGCGGGTGAGACTGGCCTGTTTCGGACCAGAAACGAGTCTAACAGATTCTGCATTCCTTGGAGCACGAGGAGTAGAACTGGAGGTGTCAAGAATCAATCCAAATCACTCATCATTATAGTCCTTGCATTTCTCAAGGATGAGGGACAGCATGAAACAGCAAAAAAACCTGGTCTTCCCTCCTTGGTGTTCTCACACGCTCACGTGCACTGCGTGGCTAACTCTCCCACATCCACCAGCTTGCCTCGCGGCATCGCGAGGAAACCGCTCAAGGCTTGAACAGCACGAAGTTGCGGGAACCAAAGGCGGTCGGGTTCGAGTCAACGGGTAAACTACGTGACACATGGAACCAATGCTTGGATATATTTGGGCAACCGTTCGCCTTGCCCAACGAACTCCCTCCGCGCTGTTCCAGTACCCAAGACCGCCCCCTCCGCGCGGGTGTTCTCACCCACCACGATCGACGGTCGCGGAGAACATCTCCGTCCAGCCACAGGGGGACATCAAACCCCGCCTGCGGGCGACCAACCCAGGTGAGTTCACCTCCACCCTCACCCGCCTGGAGGTCCAGTCTCAAAGGGGCCAAAGGTTTCGGTAGTCCTCACTCACGCGGTGGTCGGCTCTCAGGATCGGTCGCTCAGCCCATTAGGTCATGAGAATAGGTTCTTTCTTTGTTTGGATCAGAGACACGGTGGTCCAGGACCTGACCTAAGATGACCTAACTTGAGATCCCAGTGGCTGAGGTCACTGAGTCACCTGAATGAGGCCACTTACAGACTCCAAAGAGGTCACGTACGGCTCAGGTCCTGGGTGTTACTCTTCGACAGAAACCCAAACAATCCGGCTTGAAACATCAGGTGAATGAATCGACTTAAAATTGAACAAGTACTTTCCGGCAGTCCGGACCACATGGAACCCCAAACCCACTGGGCCAGCTATTGGGAAAATGGTCTTCCGCCACCGGTCTTTCTTTTCAGGAATTCCATATGATTCCATGTTACTTTGCGGTGACATATAATTCCCTCCAACCTCATAGCGATGGCCTCCACCTAGTATATATACTCTATAGTTACTAGAAAAGCTTCAAAGACATACTACTCCCTAGGGCTCCAGTCGTACCTTCGTTTCGAAGGTGGGACGACGGGGGCCCGGGTGCCAAACGTCGTGTCCAGTCATACCGAACCGGTTTGGAGGTCACCTCCTGGAGGTCTATAGGGAGTAGTAGCTGATAGCTTCTGCATGTCCCCGCGACCTCCACCGAGCCAAGCGTCACGCGGCGCGCTCGACGGTAGCAGGGCGCGGGGATCCCATCCGGAGAGAACCATCCCTCCGCAGCGGGCGAAGCAGGCTCCTGTAAGGACGGTGAGTCAGGCGTAAAGCCACTTTCCGATGTGATCAGAGTGAACCCATTGATGTGAAGTTCATTGAAGTTCTACATACCTCCAGAGGAGACCTGTTGGAGGGTGCTGGTATAGAACTGAACTCTATTATATTGCTGGTTCGGACTCATTTTCACTTTGCAGCGTGTCTTGCTTCGTTTCATGCCGTTGTTCTACTGCTGGACTTCTGTCCACATGCTGGACCATCACTGCTGACTCTACAGGGCTCTCCTCCCCGGGCAGGCAGAAGAGCACCTTGTCGAAAATGGAATGGCTCCAGCGCCGGCGCTTCTCATCCCATTCGATGGTGGCCGGCGGCTGCCCGGTGACATGAATCGGTTGAGTCCACTTGTGGTCACACGCTTTGTCTTTCACATAGATTCCGGGCACATACTTCAAGCGATGGGTGGAGGGATTGTGAGCTGGCAGCTTCCCGCCCGCGTAAAAGACTTCGATCTTCTGATCTGTGGTGGCTGGCTGGTGATACCTGGTGGCTGGAACGCGGTGAAAAAGAGACGAGACGGACTCCTAAGCGGCGTTTCCCTGGAAAAATCCACTTATAAGGCAACCCTTTTCTGTTTTTGTTTAGTGGGGTGTCTGCCCATTTTGCTCCCAAAAAGGCGTTGCAGGTTCTCTAGTTTGGATATGTGGAGAGACTCTCCGTCGTCGGTGTCTCGGTGTCCGGGTGCGTCTCTCTCGACACGACACGGTGTCACAGCACTCGTTGCTGGCATACCTAGAAGCTGGTTAGGCAAGAATTTCGATTGGATTCATGGAGGTTCTGAGAGGTTCTGATTGGAGTCTGATATGGTTCATGGAGTTCTGATATGGTTCTGGGAGGTTCTGACATACCTATTGGTTCATGGAGGTTCTATAATAGGTATTTTATTGGAGTCTGCGGATGCTGGAGTTTCTGATTTGAAAGACAGGCGTCAAAATAGTGAGCCACCGGGTGTGTTTTATCCGAAGGTGTTGGTTCACCAGATGTTTAGTTGCGGATGCTTCGGTTCACAGACCGTATGTTGAACTACCAACTCACAAAGAAGCAAACCACGAGGCAGGTCTTCCTGACCGGAGCCCGCAACCAGTGAGTTCAAACAGACATCAAACCCTGCTAGCTGCCAGTCCAAAGCCAGATCTGAACGTAACATGGGATGATCATGGATTTCTCAAGCTGATCGACCCTAAACCCATCCATTTTTTTTCCATTTGCTTGTGGCTTTCCGAGTCGGGGGGGGCCCCGGCGCAAGCCTTGTGAATTCACTGGGCTTTGAAAAAGGTTAAAAAGGGTCACTTTCGCCTTGGCGAATGGGAGCGTAGTCCGGTTGCATCTCCTGAACGGTGTCCTCTTGTTGACGGAGAGCAGTGACATAGGCTAGCAAGTCAGGGTCAGTCATCTGGCAGGGTTGAGACTTGCGTTTGCTGAGCCACTGATCCATGAAAATCTTGGCCAAAACCTGATTCAGGTAGGGGGAGTACTCTTTGGCCGAACTGGTGTGAAAAGCTCCCTGGTCGTCCTTACCAACCAAGCTCTTCAGCGTGGTCGGATCGACTTTCTTGGCATATGCTCTGAAGGTCTCTCGAGCTCGTGGAAGGTGAGCCACTAAGAAGGTCGTCGGTTTCCATGCCACACCTTCAAACTGGCCTTGATAGACGTTTTCCAGTGTGACAGCAGGGTGGAGTCGAAGCCATCTCATCACTGGAGTCTTCCAGATGCTCGGGAGATCGTGCCGCTTTGGGGCACGAGGATGCTCACAAATCACAGAAACACCAGCAAGAACCGCATGTAGAGCAAGGTGAATTGCTGTGAAAAGTAACTCATTGGCCACCAAAATTTGTTCTAACTCGGCCAAGGTCAAATTCGGTCTGACCCACGGCTGTTCGGGCAATTTGAGAACTCTAGGGTTACCCTCGAGGGCTCTGGCACTCGACCAGGACTCACAGGGAGGAGCCATCAAAATACCCAAAACTTTACCAGAACCAATCCAAGACTCAAATTTGCGTACATGAGCTTCTTGGCGCATGTCGTGATCCGCAGAAAGAGCCACGTCAATGAGCAGCGGATGACAAGTCACTCCATGTAAAAGGCCCCAGGCAATGAAGTGCTCGGCAAAGTCCCCTGGTCTGCGTCTGCCAGAGTATAGGTACAGCACCACTGGCTGTTCCTGCAATGGAGCGCAGGGAGCAGGAAGCCAAGCAACCGAAGTCAAGGCATCACGAAGGGTGCTCTGACCAACTTGAGTGGGTACATCGAAGTGTTGCGAAATGAGCCAGGCTTTGTAGCTGCGACGATCAGCATGAAAAATTCCTTGAGGAACATTGCAGGCTGGCACCCGGAAGCGCGACAACATATGTTGTTGAATATCAATCGCTGGATGGTCATAATATTGTCGCCAAAGTTCCAGGGCTGCGGCAACTCGTGGTAGCACAACATCGCAAGCCACGACAGAATCATCCCAGTCGATGCGATCGAAAGCATCCCAGAGTGCAAAAAACACTGGTTGAGCAAAAGTCACTGGCTGCAGGTACTCATACAGTGTAGCCTCCTCTGAATCGGCAGTACACAAACGAACAAAACCTGACACAAAGGTGCACAAAGCGGGTTCCCTGTCAGTGGCACAAAGGGTCAGGTCTGCATCGAGAAGTGCACCAGACTCATTAGCTTGCTGAAATCGCAGGTCTGCCAACAACCAAGGGTGTTGGGGCACAGGTCCAGCAAGACGTCGCACCGGCTTGCGAAATGAACGAGTACGCATACGTGAATATTGTTCACGAAGTTGGACACGATCAGCTGCAGCCAAAGACTCCTCAGACTCCGGGTCCAAGGGTGGGACCGTGCAGATGAGCGCGTGCAAACAACCGGTTCGAGTATACTTCAAATGGTGCAGAAGCTGAACTCGCGAATGGTACTGTCTTAGGCACCAACGGCAGGTGGAATCGACAGCATATAGACTGGCCACATTGCGTGAACGATGCTGCTTAAAATCATGTGCAAAAAGTCGCTGCAGGCTAGCAAAAGACTGCTGGCATATGGGGCAATGGAAAATCGGCAAATCTGTCGAAACAGGTGTGGCTGCCGTAAACAAAGCTCCCTTGTTCTGAGCGGTTTGCACAAAACGAGATCGAAAGGCGACCAGGGCATTCCAGATGCGAGCTTGTTGAAAGAAACAGGCATTGGCCAGTTTACATTTTGCCAGCAATGTGCGAGGAGTGGCCGTAAGATCGGCGGCCAGACTTGACCAAGGCTTAGTGTCAACCTCTGGGATAAGACTGTCTGTCGGCAGCAACTGGTTCAGGGCGT